TTTCATAACAGAGCCTCAGATAATAGCAGTGATGAGCAGCCATGAGAGGACTATGGGAGGGTCTTGCCTTGCAGAAAGTGAGGAGGAGGTGTAGTACAGTATGTGTTCTTTCCCAAGAGGATCACATCTCTTTCTCAGGAAGCATGACAGCTTGAGAGAGACTGCAGACAGAACTTTGAGGAAGATGAGATCCCATAGTGACAGGAAAGCTGCAATGCCTTCGGACAACTTGTACAGTAATGAGGATCGAAGAGCGAATTGGAAAAAATGGCCCAGAATTCACCTGGTTGGACAACAACAGACTGAAGGAAGGATTGCACAGTCTTGTTCTGACTGAACAGCTTGAGGCAACAGTAGCTGAATTATGAAATTTCTCAGCAGAATTCTGTGTGAGCCTAGGAAACAAAATACTTGGAGTAAATACAACAAACACAGTCTTTTTATACTGGCAGTACATCAAATAGATCTGATGTTCCTTTTGGACTGAAACAAAGCTGGGTCTCCTGGACAAATGCAAACATGCAGCGGTTAAGATCAGTAAATATTACAATCCTGAGAAAAAAAAAAATCCCCCAGGCATAAAATCCACACATCTTCACTACGAAGTCATCGGATCAACCCTTCCTCTTCTTTTGTGGGTCAATCAATTGTAATGCTTTCTAGTTGACCCCAAACTGCTCTCATCCGGCCTGAATGAGTGCCCAGGGAGATACAAAGCACCCATCCACAGGGACACATTCAGATCAACATGAGCTGCCCCAGCACTGCTCCACTAACATCACAGGGTCGTCTTGTTGCCAGGAAACACTTTGAAAGATTTTGACCTTTTCACCTCATGCTGTCTGTTAGAGTGTTTCTCATTCATACTGGTTAAAGTCAGGAAATAATCACTGAGAATATCCTGACAGGCTGGTTATGTCTTGCTTCACATTACAAATCAAATGGATCACCTAGAGACAAAATTGCAGTAAAGCTGAAATAATCACAGGCACCATAATCCCACAGCTTTTAAAGCATCTATGATCACATTTCTCTCTGTCTCACTGTCATGACTCATAGTCACAAGTTGATTGTCAAAGAGCTCAGCAAAGGTTCAAAAGCTCTGACAGGGTCAGTGCCTTCTGTAGATGCCCCTTTGATTCCTAATATAGTCATGAAAAGGCTTCCTGGCCTGCACAGAAAGTGAAAAAGGGAGTGAAAAAAGGGGGATCAAATAGGATAGAGGTCTGTTTTGTTCTCTCCTCCCTATCTGCTAAAGACTCCCGGTTGGCGGAGCCTGCTGTTTAATCTCGGCTGGCTCCACAGCACAGCCAGCAGTGCTGGAACCCAGTACGGAGAAGCAGCAATCACAGCCAGGGAGTCAGGAGGTGACTGAACAGATATGAAGGTAAAAAGAGTAATGCATGAAAGATGGACCGATAAAAAAAAAAAATGAAGGTACTGAGCTAAAGGCTCAATCCTGTCCCACCTAAAATGAATGACTGACCCCCTGGAGGACCCCATGCGCTTTGCAAACTGGGCTTGGTCTGTCCGTTGGGCCTTTGCCACCATCACCACGAGCAACAGATTTACCACCGCAGAGTGAAACCAAAAGCCAGGCCTCACCACAATGAACGTTCTGTACATTAGCTTTATTACATCTTTCAAATACAAACATCTCTTTCCAACTGTTCTGCACAACAGCAAACACGATCCATCACCAGTACAACATATCCCACTAGCATTGTAGATCCAGATCCACTTTGGCCTAACGAACGGTATGGATCTCTGGGGCCTGTACCACAATGCGAGATCAGCAGGTTATCCAACTAACTTTGGGCTCAGCTCATTTTTTCTGGTGTTGTGTTGAAATCTGTTTGCCCATTAAGATGCGTTTCCCCTAGCTATATCCACCGAGGGGGGCTAGCTACGTGAGAGTGAGCCTTCACTTGGCAGCCACTGGGTGTAAGTATTTCACTGCAGAAGGTCAACTTTGTCAGGGGCAAAGATTTAGTGATGTGTGATTGTCCAGTTACTACACAGTAATGTTAAAACTGGGCAAAGTCTGAAGTTTTGAACAGAGGGTGAAGGTGACTCGTTTTCTGTGAGTGAAGTGAAGGGTCACTGAGCCAGTGCAACACTAATGACTAACCAATCTGCCACATCCCATGAGATTTTCAAACACCAGAGAAAAACAGTCTAGAATTGGTCTCATGGGCCGACTTGTAATCTTTATAGCTGTGACTACATCAGATAAATAATCAAGCATTTCTTCTGTTCATGATTACAAAAACCCCAGGAACTAGCCCAGAGGGTGCCAAGTTCTCAGGCAGTCCACTGTTTGGATTGGAGTTTCTCAGATGTTTTCTGTGATGTAAGAAGCTTTTATAAGGGGTTTGCTCAAAATTTCAGATGAGTTTATTAAAGTTTACACCGACAGAACCAGATTCACAAAAACACTTTAGTAGTTAACCTGCAAATCCATGGCCTGGCATAAGGCCAACGCAAAACTGCTTAAAGGGTTCATCTCACCCAAAATGGATACTTTCCTAATATACAGTGTAGACACATAACTTCCAATTGTGTCATAATCTAATCAAATTGAAGTATTTGCCTGGTGTGAAGTTGAATGCCATCACTGCATCAGCAATGCACAACATCCCATGTGAAGCGAAGCATTTGGGTTGTGGCTAACCTTGACATTCATTAGGTCTCCTTTCTAGACAATACAAGATATTCATGCTATGGGAGAGGTCTTATTAAGGTTTCCATAGCTTCATAAATCTTTCAACATATCTGGGAGGGTAATAAAGGTGCCACAGTGGATCCATCACAAAAACTAGAATGACTGCATAGCACATGGAGCCATCACAAACATTCATTCTCAGGTTTATCATGCACAAGGACTTGCATTCTCTTTAACATAAGAGCGATGCTGATAGAGTTCTCCAGTCAATTTAAAGTTGTTGGAAAAATAGAACTATGAAGCAAAATACAGACCAGCAGAGACAAAACCTAATTATGCCTGAATAAAGTATCTTGACAGGTATCTGTTGCTTCCTATTTGAGGGGTTCACTGTTTCTCTGGCTCTTTAGATCCCACCAATAAAAGTCTGCTTTGCTAACTCATATCCTTTATCCTCATTATAGCAAACAGTATTGGTTCTCTTCATCTTCTGGCACAGGCCCAACACCAGTGTTTAATTTGCTAATGGACCCCTGCTGGAAGCTGCTGCCTTGACTATATGGTGGTGTAATTATTTGTGCTCGAGTGATGTAACTAACAACGGCAATGAAGGAATCAGTAGCTTGCACTCTGCTCCAGGGGGATGCAGCTGATTTTCCTGCTGTTTGCATTCTGCAAAGCCTGCGTGTCATTCACCGTCAGAACAGGGTGACTATAATTACTGACACAAAGATCTGACAAACTTGAACTAACTTTATTTGACAGTAATGTAAACTGTGAAATGCTAAAATGTACTTAGCTTTTCTTGTAAAAAAAAAATTTTAAAGCTTCCAGCTGGAGCAAACAAGCATTTAAAAAATATCTATGTTCATTTGCTCCCATGTGTCTGGAAGGCCTGGAGAAGGACAGCACCACAAAGCCTGTGTTTCATGTAGTAAATAAACACGTAAAGGCCTAGTGAACGGCACAAAAGGCAACTTCTGTTCATGGGTAGTCTACCATGTAGCTCTCGGGAATTTTGACTCAGCCTTATTACAACATAAACTTGCAGAACCTGTTTCTGTATGTTCAATTATTTCAAGGCCACTAGCTCTATAGTCTCAACATTTTCCCTGAAGGGATATTAGCAATCAGTCAGTGAAGACATGACTACATTTGTTAGGACATGAAATTTAGATAAGGTGAGAGAACTATTCATGTTTTGAATTGAAGTATTGACAAGCAGGTCATGCTGCCATTCACAAGGCTCTTTGGTTTAGTGGCCTTACCCTAGTTCAGCCTGTCAGGGAGCTTAAGCTTGCCAAAGCTTCTGGGAGGTTGAGATAAGGAAGGTCAGCATAAAACCAAATAAAGCTGCTTTGCACTTGGAGTGAGACAAAGTTACAAATACGCCTTAATGTGCCTGGATAAAGCGATTATATCTGTCTGGAACTAAAAGAACATTTAAAGTGTCCTTTGTGTCTGATCGTGCTTGTTAGTGCATTTTATCTGAGAAGACTGACAAAAAGTTCTTCATCTGTGAGTCCACGAATGATAGCTCTAAGTAACCTGACATGAGACAGCTCATTTGCAAGTCAAAGACACCATGTGAGCGAGGAAAACTCCAAATGTCTAAGGCACTGGTCAGTCCTTATGGCACTATGGTCACCTCGGTGTGTCGGCCAGAACACCACTTTGGGTCTTTTTTACACACCAAGGTTCTCATCTTTCCCATAATGAACTTCTCTGTACCCTCAGTCTGGAACTGCAATTAGCACATTGAAAACAAGGAGCTAGTGAGATGCATAAAACCGGGCCATCAAATATTCTGCATGGCTGGCTGATGGATACTCAGGAGCTGTGATAATACTTGCTATGTCATCCAAAATATTCTCCCAAATGGCCCATCTCTGATAATAGCCTAGTAATTGTAAAGGGCACCACTAAGCAGCCATTTGCCACATTTCCTCCAGGTTTTGTGTTTAAAGGAACGTGACATGAGGTGACAAAGCGAATTAATGTGGGTAATTTTTCATGCCACATTACACAGGGCACCACAAAGTCCAATTTCATTATTCTTAATTTAAATGTACCACAAAAGGCAAAGCACCACAATGGTCACTTTCCATCTCATAAAGACTCCATAACGAGGTCTGTGAACTGCTCTTTTTGCTGCTGAGAACTGACGTTTACCCGACAGCGAATACAATGTGTTAACGTTCCTTTGCATTAAAAACTCAACACAAAATGAGAAACAGGAAAAATCACAATATATTATTTCATTTTCACAACAAAATGATCAGAAATCAATAAACACATTTTCAAGAGCAGACAGCATAAAATACAAATGTCAACAAGTCAACATGTGGAGTTTACAGCTAAGACATTTATGTACAGCTCTTGCTACACCTTTGTGACAACAGAGAATTAAAACAGTGCCCACAAAGCAAGCATGTTTCACATATGTCCCACCTGGTGGTAGTGGGGCTTTGCCTCAGGCATCATCTATATGACAATCAAACTGCTTTGGTTTTCAGTCAGGCATGTGCGCTTTGTAACTAATCTCCCGTGTGTAAGGCCACATGCAGAAACTTCTACTAGTGGTGGTTTATCTTAGGAACTTCCATCAGTCAAAACATGAAAGCAAAAACAATTAAAAGCTTAACATTTACAGTAGCTGGTGCTCTGGATTTGGCATGGAAACAAATTGCACTTGCTGTAACACTTAACCAACCACTTTGCCACTTTAAACAGTTTAGCCTCTTGAACCACTCAGCATGAAATGTCCAATTTTCCAAATGGCAGCTAATCCTAATCTACTCTTTTACTTCGATCCGCTGATTGTGGCTGACCTTATATAAAGTCCAACTTGAATTTTCTACAGATATAGAAGAGCTCTTGCAGTTAAAGGTAGAGTTGCTGGTGAAAATCACCCTTTCTTCAGCAACTGTGAAAAAAAAAAGCTGAGGTATTGGATGATTCAACAATAAATATAATCTTTCTACATAAGAGAGCACCATTTTCATTTACTTAGCCGCCATGATGAAAACATTAATACATAAATAACTGTTTAAATGGTTTCACGGTTGCATTAAGTGGCAGTGGTTTGATGAGGTGTGTTAAATCCACAATGTGGAGAAAGCAGGTTTCAAGGCAAAAATTAAATGAGAAAAATGTGCATGAGGGAAACATTTGTCAAAGTGAAGAACATTTAAAATATCTCAGTAGTCTTTGTAACCACTGTGCTTAGCTTTATTATCCAAAGCAGTAGTATTCATCTGATTCCACCGTCAGTTTCAGTGGAGATTTGCTGAAAGCATCAGCGTCAATAACCGTTTTCTCCACAAAACAGTCGAGGTCCGTAGGTGAGGGGTCATCTGGGAGGTCTTCTGCTAGAGTGTCCAGGTAACTACCTACAGACAAACCATCCAGCCCGTCACTGTCACCGTCATTCAAGCTGTTGAAGCTGCCTCGCAGTGAGGTACCGTCCTGGCTGTCTGACAGGCTGTACAAGCTGCTCGTCAGGCTTCCGTCTTGGCTGCCAGCGCCTCCTTTGTCTTCTATCATCCACCGGATGGACTCAATGCCCTCATTGATTGACATAAGCTGCCGCATCAGCTTCACATCAATGGCTCGTAGATGTGCCTATGAGTTGGAAAAAAAACCATCCATGTCAGGTCGTGGTACTTAAAGACAACTGAGCATTTAAAAGAATAGTTTGGAAAATATACTTATTTGCTTTCTAGCTGAGAAGTAAATGACAAGCTCCAAACCATTCTCATACCTGTCCTGTAAAAATAAGGCTACAGCAAACAGCCAGTTAAGCTAAGAATGGTATCAATCTTCTCATCAAACTCAGCAAGAAAGCAAATAAGTGTTGGACTGTTCCTTTAAGACAGCTACAGCCTGAGAAAACTACTCAAATATAACTAGTGAGCTAGTGAACAGACCTTATGGTGAAACTCTTTTCTCAGTATCCTCTCATGGTTAGAACACCGTGTGCTATTTAGTTTAGACTATCAGGCTTAGTTTTGAATTGTGGCATCAGACAAATGACTTCATGTAAGGGCACAGACAGGAAACAGTTCTCAGGGAAACGGATGATATGCCTGCTTTACACAGTATGGCCACTGATTTAACTCCCTGCCAGGACAAACCCTGCTATTGACTGTGGATGGATGTGGACGGCCTCTAGGGTCATTCAAAGGGATTCCCCTGTGTCTGCTGGGCGACAAACACCCAGTCTGAGTGAAAAATGGTAAACAAACAGCTGTGACATCCTGCCACATTCAAAAAGCACTGAGCCAGCTGAAGGCAGACAGGGCTGGAGCAGAGCTCTACACAGATGGCTCGATCCACCAGACAGCCTTTGTTTAGAGTGGATTTGCAACCAGCCTTCATTTAGCTCCTACTGCTCCTGGTGTGTTTGTTTAGCCAGTGTAACCCCTCGTTTCACGCACACATTAAAGCTGAGCAGATGGAGTCATGTTGGAATTTGAGTCCACGAATGTTAATAAGATGGCACCTGTGCGGTCGGTATCACAAAATGAGTTTAGGAAACACAGTGAGGGCTGCATAATTTTGTCTGCAATAACCTAGAGCAACATGGTTATCTTGTAATATGACAGCACTCTGATAGGATTAGTGATTAACCTGTGAAAAGAGTCACAAAAAAAACTAAGAATCCCAAAATGGCCCAAATTTATAATGAGCTGTTTAATAATGAGAGACCACTGATGGAATTACACTTAATTTTAAATGTTAATTAGTGGTTTAGCTCATATCAGCACAATTCAATTAATGCATGATGATGTTGGTAAATGTGACAGGCCAGGCTGAAACAGAATGAGTTGGCTTCATCACATCAACATAAAACTAAGCCTGTCATAACATGGTCTGTGGGAGAGAGGTTGAGTCCATGGCCATGATGCAGCTCCACCACAGTCTGCAGAGCTCTGTCGACTGGCCCATCTGCTCAGGGGTCCCAATACCTTTCAGGACCCTGCTTAAAATGGGGCTTTGCTTATAACTCTGGGCCTACCCCAGTCAAACAGGTAACTGTCAATGCCGAATAAAAAGGTAATGGTTAAAAGGTAACTACATAGGTACGAGTGGATTTCAGAGCTGTTTGAATCCCAAGAAATGAGGGGCTACTCCT